CAATGGGAAGTCATTAAAGTGCAAAATGCACCCCTCCTTCGCCCTCGCCCCCCTCCCCCGCAGTCGCCAAACAGCGCCCACATTTTCTGTGCTTGCCTGTCTAGACACCTCATTTGAGTCGATTGACAAACTTTTCTGTCAGGAGAGGTTAAATAGGGGGAAGTAAAGCGTAGGCCAGGCTGTGGAAAGATCCCCAAATGAAGCGCATCTCAAATGAGATGGGGCACGTTTCGGGGTGGGAGGGGCACTTGCACTTTCGCTAACACCCATCGACGTGTCTCGAGCCATCAAATCTGTGAAATCTTGTGAAGTCGCGAAACGATACCAGTCAAAGTTTCTAGAGACCAGGCGTCATTTGTTGTGAAGAGTACCTCTCAACTCTGATGAAGCGGTGAACAAGACGATGGAATTGAACAGAAATCCCTTATTCCCTCCCCCTCCCCGTCACCCTAAATGGAACTGCGCCGAAGACAGATTCAGATAGGGCCGAAGTAGAAGTTCAGAAAGTGCTGATGGTGGTTCGAGAGCAGATCGCTAAATAAGTGGGTAGCTGTGAAAAGGGAAAGCGCTAAAGGGGAAGTAATTGGCGAGGAATGTGCACCTGCCAGCGTTCAGAAAGGGCTAACATATTAAGAAATGCCGAGCTCACAAAGGAGATATGTAGGCTCGAACATTGGCGTTTATGTTGCCCGCCATGCCGTTCTTCAGTAAAACAGCCAATTTTGCAGTTCATCCAGGGACTATCAAATGTTATTTTGAACCGCCGGCGTCCGCGACTCTGCTCCCAAAGAAGATACTATTCCTTTTAAGATTATTCATGATTAATTATTTAGATAATTTTTTTGTAGATTTATTGACACTTTTCATGATGATTACTGTAGTTCCTTTACAGTAATAAGGTATGCCAGAGAATGTCTGCTTCATTTATATTTTCAGTTTCTAAGCAAGGAATCGTTTTCTTAGCTAGAAAGGACCTACCTGGGAAAATCAGAGCGTCTACCCAAGCGAGTTATGGTACGAGTGGGTGGTAGGATGCAGCCATTTCGAGTTTCCGTCCATCAGTGCATAAATCATCCCATTCGAAATGCAAGCGTTGGCAGCAGTGTCTGCAAGTTAGCATCCTATTGACTGCGCCATACCAGGATTTCACAATCAGGGCACGTCGTACGCTAGGGATCCCTAGCTGGAGCGGTCGTATTTGGTTTTCAGAAGCATGTTTTCGGTTGTTGATTTTTTGGGTTCTCCCGTTTCAGTGGCGCGATATACCGCTTGTACCTCCCCCACCTGACGGTAGTTTTCTGGAGAAAACCGAATAAGTTTTCCTGTAAAGTGGTCAAATGTTGGAGAGAAAGGTGGAGTGCAGGATGGGGAGAGTGGGAGGGTTTTACGAGGGGTGTTCAGTGTATTCGCGATATAGGTATGAAGGAGAAGTTAGGAAATTCCGAATAAAATTTATTTTTCTATGTAGTCCCTCACGACCATAATGCACTCGTTCGCTCGGGAAACTAACTTTCCAATACCCTATGAAAATATTTTTCCTCCTTGTCCCCAAAATGTGCGTTAATTGCCGCCTTTAGCTCTTCATCGTCTGGAAAACTCTTTTCACGGAGATGTTTTTTCGGGTTGGAAATCAGTAAACAACTGCTAATCATTTTTTCAACTTTCTTGCCATTCTTGTCAATTTTTTGACCAGCAATAATTTTTTCAACATTGTCGCATCAGTCATTCTGGTCTTCTTTCGCCACTTATATCATTGATGATAACTAAATGAAATTTCGTATTTATCCTCAGGGAGTGTCGTTACCTATCGAATTGATTTAATTTCTTCTTCACTGATAAATTACCCCGATACCGAGAATACCTTCGAAATAAAAAAATTTCAAATTCATAGATTCATGGTTAAATAAAATTGGCTCAACTAAGTTTAATCGAATCGGTACAATTAGAAGTGGTTTTAATTATTTTATAAGAACTTTTGAAATTTATAGATTTCTGCTTAAATAAAATTGGTTCGACTAAGTACAACTGAATTGGTACAATTAGAAACTGTTTCAATTATTGTATAAGAACTTTCACAGATTATAGATTTATGGTTAAATGGAATTGGTTCAAATAGGTTTAATTGGACTGTAGAAGAGAAACTGTATTATGCAAAAAATCTCCTCAACGGCAGAACGTGTTCGCAATCCAATCAAATTTTAGATTTTTGGGGATCTGCAGTACTCCGTTAAGCGTTAAGTGGGGTGGAA